ACTAATAAAAATCAGTTCTTTTCATCCCAGTTATATCTATGCTTTTCATTTTTCCATCATTTTCAATAAAAAGTAATTCGTCTTACATTTCAGTAAGGGTAAATATTCGTATAACGGAATTAAAGGATCATCGATCCAGATATATACATATAAAATCTCGTTTCCATGGTAAAATTTCGAAATTGAAATACAACCTTCGGAGAATGCTAAAAATTACGGTGAGTCAATGTTACGTGGAAATAAGACATGGGCGTTATCAGTCCCCCTGATAACAGGTAAGAAATGAACCAGAGTTTAGCTACCCACCAACATTAAAATTCCAACATTCTTTGAAGTTTCGGCTGCATGTTTTTAATGATTAAATATTATTTATATAATACGTGTATTTACTCTTTATTTACAAACGATAATACCGAAGGAAATAAAACTGAAAACACGTATTAATGAATTAATGCACATTATCTTTCCTTCTATATCAATAACTTGGTAGTAAAAACAAGAAACTTGTTATCGAAATATTATGCTCTTGGAATGATTCAATGAACACTAATCGTGTATGAAAAAATGTAACGAAGAAGGAAACTACTTTTCAAATTTCTCACGTACCGATGTATCGTACACTTTAGATTGTAAATAAATGGCATGAAGTTAACACGAGTTTTGTTATGAAGCAATAACGAATTAATAAATAAATTAATGTATCCTTTCCTGTATTTCTTTTATAACTTCTGTTTATCTTTACATTCTCTAAAAGATATAATTACATTAAATTTTTTCCTTCACATATCTTTTAGTAAAGTTCAGTCACTTGGAAGGCAACTTATGCAATCATTTATACAACGAAAAATTTATATAACATTTCAATTTACTGATTATTTATGAACAAGGAAAAAATGTTGAAAGCCTTTCAATAAAGATAATCATCGATTTAATAGCATTTTTATAATAAATTTCTATAATCTATTTCTATGTGGGGTATAATCTATATCTAGTTCTTAACTTGATTTAAAATGAGATAATGTTTTGCCTTTTGTTGTTACTGATCACGAAATTTAAAAGATAAGTAAACGTAACGCGTAAACGAGAGGAATCAAAGAAATAATTCTAATTAAAAGCGTACGAGAAAAAGCTTGATCACAACACCGTGAGATAATCAAATTCAGTGAGAGCCTTGGGTTAGGTCAGTGTTACGTTTACAAGTGCGTTTGATTCAGTTTGGATGTTTTACTCGAAATACGACAAAAAAAAGATTGTAAACAATATTCAAATTTAGTAATAACTGCATGATTTACGTTAACATAAAAATGAACATTTCGATTAATTCCTTTGCTATAAATTTTTAATTTCTAATTTTAACCTAGTTATAATATTTGATTATTAAAATAAATAAATTGAATACTAAAAGCATAATTAAAAAGCTTCTTTAGTTTTTTACATGCGGATATTTTAAAAAATTCGTTAAATTTGAAGAATAAATATATTTTGAATAAGTAGTTGACAAAGAACAAAAAAATTGAATTGTAATATTTTTCTGATTATTTAGTAGTATTTAATTGTATAATATAATTTATATGAACAGTCATAGTAATTTCTAATGTATACATTGCTTATTACAAATTTATTGCACTAGTTACGTGTAATATTTGACTATGGCTCAATGTATTACAGCTTCTGTCATATTTATTTGTGAAATATTTACATATGCATTAAAATAATATACCATTTTAACAAAAGCAAGACCAACTCTAGTTTAAAATAAAATATATGTTTAATTCTTTGTTGTTTATTGTTTTAATAGATATATTATGAGGAAAGCAATATGCACCATAAAATTTCTCAGGAAAAAGGTGACTAGAAATTCTTAAATTAAGAAATGAATGAATGAAAATTAGAAATGACTAAAGTTTGTATAATATAAATTAATCTAGATAGAAATGCATTTACATAAAATATTAAGAAAGTCAAAGTCAACATTCAATCTTTTTAGATTGTGTAACAAAATACATAGAAATTACAACTATTATGTTTTATATATACATTTATATAATTGTATAACGCAAAATGAAATATTCTTATTTGATTCAAATATAAACACAAATTAAATTTTTCAGGTGTAAATGTGTTATAAAAATCACTTTTAATTTAAGTTTAAAATAGTCATATTGAATTTATGTATATAAGCATATTAGACATATGTGTATGTATGTGTATGAATATTATTTTCTATGTAGATGATAAAAACAGTTTTTCAATCTGAACAAAAATAGCCAACATATGTAAGATAATGATAATAATTTTACTTTGATATCTGTTACAATTAATTTTTATTTAATGCTGTTATTACTCATTTGCTGAGCAAGCTAACTGATAAGACATTTATGAAAAGAAACAAAGATTAACAAGAAGCAAAAACATAATACAATCAACTATAAGAACATTTATAAAGAATGCAACTATTAAAAAGATAACAAATTTCTTTCAATAATATTATTATACTGAATACAAATACAAATTTATAAATAAAATACTACATATAAATTTATAAATAAAGTAGATCGATTGAAAAGAAAGAAAGATTACATAATAACAGAGTAAAAGTTTATTAGATGCATTTATACACTGACAGGCTGCATGCATGAACCATTTAAAAATATATAAATATTGTTTTTATAGCAATAGTATCTGATAGCAAGTTTAAATATTGAAATAAATTTATAAATAATTTTCTTGTAATTCACTCCATTCTTTTCGTTATTTGAAAAAAAGAAACTAATAATATAAATATATATCTCAATCTTAAAATCCATTATGAATTATTTGTTCTACTTCTCTCAAGGAAAAAGAGATAAAAATTTCTTCAGAAATAATATTACTGACTTTTCTTTGACAGTGTTAGTGGTAGAAAATGATAAAATCTGTCAAACTCACGTAAATGAGGCCGGAGTAGTATCTGTCTTTGAGGTTATGCAGTACGGAGGCTTCATTTAGGCACGTTAATTCAGCCATGTCTTCAACTTTATCGAATTTTGGTGGATTCATTTTCTGAATATCATCTTTCGCGACAAGGACCCGTTTTCCAGTTTCGGCAATCTCCACTTCGACCTCGTCACCAATTTCACCCTTTATCCCGGCTGCAACGAAACCTTGGGTTTCGTGAGGCACCCAAACCAGTTTTTTCTGTGTCCATTCTGCCTGAGTTGCAGGATCGTTGAAATTATTTCTGTCAACGGAAAGGAACCGCAATTCGGGATCCGAATGATCCACCCTCGAGTCGACGTCCGCCATTTTTGTTTTCGAGATCACTAGCTCCTCGAGCCGGCTTCAGGGACGAGCGATTCCAAGGACGATCCTCGACAGACTGACCTCTTCGTAACAAGGACACACATGTAACTATACAACACTCGTTTTCCTGTCGTTTTCGAGTGTCTATTGTTTAGTGGTGGTTAAGGTAAACTGAGGTTGGAGAGTTTTGGACGATTCGTAGTTCGTTCTCCTTCGAGGCACCGTGTTCTTCTACCACCTTTAACGCTCTTCGAGATTGTTTTCTTTCTTGCTCCTCGCGGCCATCTTCTTTCCTCCTTACGTTCAGAATAGTGGTGGGGTTGTATTTTCAAGATATGCTGTATAGTAGCGCTCACGTCGCTACATGACGCGTCTCGATAGAAATTTGATTGGTTAAATGGTAAATATATTAAACAAGCAACCAATCGAAAATATTTTATATATCAGGAAAAGAGAGTATTCTTCTTAAACCATAAGTAAGGTATCCTTACTACACTTTTTCTATGTTATGATTTTAAATATACACCTGATGGTTCCTAACCGATAATTTATAATAATGCAATTGTAACTTAAAATATATCTGTAATGTAGAGTCGCAGAAGAAGTTTATATTGTATAATATAAAATTTAACTTAAGATAAATTTCATTGTATTAATTACTTTAGAAGCATATATCTTTATTTTTATAATTTTTAATTTCATTTGTTACATAAATTATATTTTTAATGGATAATTGTACAATATAGAAATATTAAGTGCATTATTATGGAGTATTTTAAACGCAACTAAAATTTACAATTATTTTTATTTAAATAGTATTTTTTTTTAGTTATTATTATTCCTTTTTTCTTATGTAACACATATTTGTAACAATGAAAAAATAATGTATCATTTCATCCAAAATTATAATAAAGTAGTTAAACAATTTATTATATTCATAATGAGAGTTACTCATTGATTTAACCGTTGAGAATAGTTTATTAAATATATGCGTATTTAACATCACTAAATGTGCGGTATAAAGAAGGTAGATATTGTAATCCACATGTAAACATTTTGTTTTCGTAAAATATAAGTACAACTTTTACAAGTGTTTTCTTTATTATTTTATAATGTCTATATGAAATGTTTTGATAAAAATGTAAAATTTGTATTTTTTTTAATATGTATTATGTTTGTGTTTTAACATTTAAAATTTATCGAAAATATGATGATTTAAATTTGTGTTTCTTTTCTGTCTAAAATATGGTAGGCAGTAGGCAAATATATATAGCACTTTTTGAATCAACAAGTTTCTAATACACAATTAATCTAGTAACCAATAAAACCAAATTACTACCTTAGTAAATAATTAAAGTTGATAAAATGATAAAATGTTATCATCTTATTTGGTATAAATAAGTGACGACGGAAATTCTTGTTCAAGTGTTGCCTAGTGCAGAAGTGTGCCAAGAAATACAGCATAAAGTGTTTTAATTATTATATACAATAATACGTGAAAATTATACTGCTACATATGTGATTAGTACAAAATTATATAAACAGACTTGTCTTACATCTGAGAAGAAGAACGAACACCATAGTTATATTTTTCGCTCTTTATCTTTTGTTCTAAATTTAGTTCCTTTTTCTATTCATATCTATAATCAAATTAGGTTACTTAACCTATAAAATTACTTTAATCTATATTAAAAATATTAAATATTTTTGAAGCTGAATAATTTTATAGTTAAAATATGTATTGTCAGGAAAATTTTTCAAATTCAGCCTATGATCAGAAAAAGGTAAAATATAGAATTATTTTAACTGTTATGATTAGGAAATCCTATAGACAAATTTTTTCTAGGAAATGATCATTGATCTTCGAAGTGATACTTTAACAAAACCAACTAAAGAAATGAGAGAAGCAATGTTCAATGCTGATGTTGGTGACGATGTTTTTAATGAAGATCCAACAGTAAAAAGTATGACAATATTATTTTGAAACAATATATATAATAGTAGTATATAAATTTTTATTTTTGTAATTATATTTGATTTTTTATTAATATATATTAATATATACAATAAAAATATCAAATTTATAATTGTGATGATTTTGCAAAATTTTAAATAATGTTGATATTAATGATACATATTTTAAACAATTGTTGATTTTTAGAATTACAAGAAGCAGCTGCTGAAATGGTTGGAATGGAAAGTGCAATATTCGTATCCTCTGGAACTATGGGAAACTTAATTGCAAGTAGGTATAGCAGATTGCACATGTAGTAATTTAAGTTTTTAACTAAAGTGAATGTATAAGTTTCATTAATTTTATTACTGTGATATCTGTTAATATTTTATCCTTTTAATTTAAACTTAAATTTTATCAGTATTAAAGTGATAGCTCAAGTGTAAATGTTATAATTAATTTATATCTTTTACATATATAAAATAGAAATAAATATTGTACATGAAACAATGGTCATTGTAAGTTGTATATTATTTGTTAGAATTGTTTAAGTTTATATGTTTGATATTCAAAAAGTTAAAAATTGCTTGTATTGGGACTCCTATTGGGATTACTTTTGATCCATATAGATATTTCACATTTATTTTTTTTAATGATACACATATGTATTAAAATTTAATATAAAAATTATATATTTATTATTATTACTATTATATTGTTGAAACCATATACCTTATAAAACATAACATAGCTAAATTTAAGTTGGTACATATGATCACCACATTTTGTATTGCCCTAATGGACAAATAGGAAATTTTTAAATTTGGAATCAGCAGGACTGACTTATTGTATATTATATTGCAATTTATATATTACAATTAATATATTAAATTGATGTTGAGAAATTAACATCTATATTCTATTCTCTTGCTATCTTCAACTTCCTTAGATATACTTTTGCAAAACATGAATATACATACTATTAAAGATGCAACTAATAAACACTACACAGATTCATTTCAAGCAAATATTTATGAAGTATGGTGGCTCAAGAAAATGTTTATATATTATATTTCAAGAGAATTCTCTAACACAAAAATTCTAATTTTAATGAAAGTTTGTATATATGTAAAGTATAAAGAGTTATATATGGATCAATCTCTTTTTTTTTGCAGATATTACTTGAAGTTAGGTGAAATTGCTACGAACAAAGTTACAATCCATCCCCTGTTTTTTTAAATGTACTTTTATAATGATGTGAAATGGTGCAAAACTTCACAAATAAAAAATTTTTTATTTTTAGTGCTCTGTTACTTTACAGTAAAAATTCTCTTCTGTGAGATTCCATTTAAAAAACAAAGAAATTGTTAAAACTTTAATCTTTAATTTTATTCCTTCAATGACATTTAAAGAGTTATTCCATGTGTAACTCATTATGCTGTACATACACACAAACTTTTATCACAATCAGAATTTTTGATCTGGAGAATTTCCTTGAAATATAGCATTTGAACACATTCATGAGTCAGTATATAACTAATTATAGCATATCAGTAGCTCTGTTAGAATAAATAGGAGAAATCTTAGCCAGATATTCCAGAATACTAAAATATATTTTACAAATATTTTGAATAAACTTTTAGGTTTTAATAAATTTTAACTCATTCAGAAACACATTCTTTATATATAAACATTTAATATGTTCAAGCAAACATTCTACAATCATTGATATAGTGGAAGTTGAGATACTTGTATATTCATAATTTGTTGAAGATATATATAGTTAGCATTAATAGAAGTATCTATATTTATTGAATTAATAAAACATACACATATTTATAAACAGTTGTTAATTAAATCATAGTGAAAATAATATTAATCGACTACATTGCCACATATTACACATACTACTGTGATGCATAGATATATATCATAGTTATATACAATTCTATATCTTTTTCACTGTGTGCCTCAACCATTTTGTTGATAATAATTACGTACAATAATTACATATATATAACAATATAGTACTATTATATTATATATATACAAGTAAAACATTTAAATGATTTTTGTTTTGTTTTTCTTTACAATTTCTTTCCATTTAATTCAATTGAACTTAATAGTTTAATGCTATGCCCATGAAAAAGTTATCTATAGTTATTATGAAATTTGTAAAACTGACAATTTCTTGGCAATATGTTGATCTGGCTATTTTTCAGGAATATTGTGTCTTTCTTTTAAGTGTATTTCGAAATTACTAAAAATCACTTGATTGTTTTATTGTATACAAAATTATTAAAAAGAAACAGAGGTATTGTAGTCAATGAGATTCACAATAAGAAATTTTTTTTTAATTTTTTCATTACAAATGTTTGAAAGTTAATTCCTTACTATCAAATAAATCAAACCAAAATTTTGTTTACTCAGTATTTTCTTATACGATTTATATTTACATGGTTGTTTTAACATGTTTTATTTATATTTATACAGATCTTTTAATGTTTTATTTAAATTTATATAATTTTTTCACACATTTTGCTTGCTTTATTATGGTTGCAAAAATACATGATATTTATCAAATCATTTGTATCCTGTATAAATATTTAAAATGATATTTTTAAATGTATTATATAGTGATTTTATATTCATTTTCTAATTTTCTTAAAGTACCTAAAGTTTATTTTAGTAGCAAAAAAAAAGAACGAATTTGTTATTCTATGGTTATTCTTTTATGTTCATATTTGTTAAACAAAATATTTTTTGTGAATGCATTTTTATATTTTAAATTATTGTTTGTATAGTTTATGCTAATTTAACACAAATTTTCTACTTTGTTGTAAAGAAATTTTCATTTGAATTTTTTACACGATTTTTTTATATGATACGCATTTACTATAAACCCACGTGTGTCTATTTCTTTTTTTTGTGGCAGTTCTAACAATTTTTATATTTATTATTGAGGTATATATTCAGAAGTTTCCATAATAAACTTACACTGCAAAAAAGAATTTATAAAGGGAAAAGGGAAAGGGAAGGAGACAAACGGAAAGAGAGAGTCAGGACGAAAAAGAGCGTGCTGGGATAGATAGGACACGCCCATTATTGTGATTAAGACAACTTTGATGTTATGTCAATCTCAACCTTATTATTTAACATTTATTAATTAATAATTAAGCAAATTTTTTTAATGATTCACCATAGTGACACATTAAAACTTAATATTTTCTATCCTTCCAGATAGAGATAAACAACTAATTTGTATACAGTGTCACTAAATTGTTTACATGTGCAAATTTTGGCGTATAACTATAATTTTAACCACAAAATGAAATTTTAAAAGATTTGAAACATTTGTAGATTACTAATTACAAAGTTTATTACCATTGTGAAAAAATATAGTCACTTGATTATTTCTATAGAAAAGTGATATTTTTAGTCTTTTTAATTTTTTTAAATTTAAATTTGCAATCAAGAAATTTGGCTTCAAATGTAAATTACTTTCTATCATTTACAGAAAAAGTTCATTTAAAGTATAAGATTCATATTATTTTATATATTTATAGGGTATATCACTTTGTTATCATCTTGATATACATTAATATTATTGTTTATAGGAAAAGATAGATTAAATCAATATTACATGATTACAAGTGAGTTTTAAGTTGGATCAAACATGATTTTAAGTGAAATTATATTATTGATTTGAAATTATATTATTGAATTGATATTATAAAATATTCATTTTAGAGTTTTATACATTTATGTCAGTGTTCCTTTTAATTCTTTAAACAATTTGGGAAATGTTTTTTTAAGAATGTTATCAATAACCTGATCAAATTTTTCTTAATTTTGTTCACAGTTTAAAATCTTTCCTTTTTAATGGTGATTTTAGTTTTAGAAAAAGTTAAAGTCAAAAATAATTATAAATCATATTATATGATTGTCTTGGATAGTGAAATGTTTTGCAGAAACTTATTAAAATATAAAAGATGACTTATTTATTTATTTAATATGAAATTCATATAATATGTAAGTTCATTTATTTAGTTTTCTTACTAATTGAATTCTTTTATAGAAGAATGATTATTCGCACATACTCAGAAATATAGTTCTACAAAAATTGTAATTAAAAATACAACTGTTTTGGATATGTTATGAATACATGTTGGCCAAGATAGTAAATATTTTTCCTTGTGTGTATATTAATTCTCTGTTAGTTATATTTGTTATAACTAATCAGTTATATACATATATCGGATGTTTATGCTATTATTAAACATTTTATAATTAATAAGTGTCCATTTTGTAAATAATAAGTTAGAAAAATATGGAACAGGAAAAATTGTACAGTTTTCTATAACCAATATGATAGTATGCATCAGTTATTTGTATATATAATATTTTTTGAGAAATGAAGATGATCAATTTTTTAAACGAAATACATATTTTTTATCACATGAAAATGTGCATTAAGACGAATTCATCTATGTACTCTGCAGTAACCTTCAATATTATATGAGATGAAAAATAAAATACATTATAACAAATTTTCATAATAATGTGATAAAAACATACATTATTCCACTTGAGAAATTAAAGATCATTTTCATTTTCTGAAAAATTCTTATGAATAGATTTATTATAATTACGCTCAAAATTAATTTCACTTGCATTTTTTGTTATGGTTTTAGCTTGAATTTATTTTTTATAGAGGAAATTTTTAATTTCTTGAAATTGTTTGGCAATATTTTTAAATGTATAATCAGATGTATATAACCATTTTGCATGAATGATACATGATTTCAAAGTAAATTGATAACATGTTTATTCTTTCTTCTTTTATGCAGTTTACTTAAACTGAATGTTTATATTAAAATAGTGGTTATGTAGTTTTCAATTATTTATATTTTATAAAAATGTCACATAGCATGTGGCATCAAATATCATTGTTACTGTGTGATAATATTGATATACAAAGTTAATATTAATAAGATGGTGATGGTTTCTTTGTTTTTTATAATTTTGTTTTATCTAGAAGTGGCTAGTAAAATTTATTTCAGATGGTTATATTCAAGAAAAAATTTAATATGATTTTTCTATATAAGGAAAAGATTTTTCTAATTAAAAAGTTAAATGTAACCTTCAAATTTTCAATACATTTTCACTTAAAAAAAGCTTGTTTAATCCATGTTATGTTTTCTTTAAAGAAACCTTAAATGTAATTTCAATTTATTCAACTATAATCTATTTTCAATAATTTATTTAATCCGTTTAATTATAATCTGCCT